GCCTCTCCCCTGCTGGTGCGCTCTCTCTGTCTCAAAATAAATAAACCTTAAAAAAAAGAAATAGAGAAGTGTCAGTATTAACTTGTGAGCTATTTTATCTAAAATATTCCCTTGCTCTGTCCACTGAAAAGTCCACAATAAAAATGGTCAACTCAGTATCAGTGAACATTCCTAGTGCCAATATTGTGGTCCTGAAATATATTTACCACTAAAACAACAACAAAAAAAAAACATGGCTTCTGGAAAAAATGGCTGATTCCAGGTCTGAGGCAGGAAAGATAAAGATGAGTCTGGAACACCTCATAGAAAATGAGGAAGTTACAGGGTGCCTGGGGGGCTCAGTCGGTTGGATGTCCAACTTCGGCTCTAGCCACGATCCCTCGGTTCCTGAGTTCAGGCCCTGCATCAGGCTCTGTGCTGATGGCTCAGAGCCTTGAGCCTGCTTTGGATTCTGGGTCTCTTTCTTTCTCTCTCTCAAAAATAAACATTTAAAAAGTTTAAAAAAGAAAAAAGAAAATGAGGAAATTATAGGGGCACCTGGGTGGCTCAGTCTGTTGAGCATCCCACTTCCGCTCAGGTCAAAATGTCATGTTCGTGGGTTTGAGCCCCGCATCAGGCTCTGTGCTGACAGCTCAGAACCTGGAGCCTGCTTTGGATTCTGTGTCTCCCTCTCTCTCTGCCCCTCCCCTGCTCGTGCTCTCTCTGTCTCTCCAAAAAATAAAAAACTTTTAAAAAGTTAAAAAAAGAAAAGAATGAAGCTATGAATGCCCATTAGAGTGGTATAAACAGGATTCAGGAGCCACTCATTGGTAAAGAAGGAATAATTGGTGCATCAAGAAAAAAATAATTGCAATCAACTGAAATGCATCAGATATGTTTAGATCCATGGGTTTAAATTACTTTTTAAAAAACTCTATGTGATGGGGTGCCTGGGTGGCTCCATAGGTTAAACATCTGACTCTTGATTTCAGCTCAGGTCATGATCTCACGGTTTGTGAGATCGAGCCCTGTGCCCGGCTCTGCGGTGACAGCACAGAGCCTGTTCAGGATTCTCTCTCTCTCCTCTCTCTCTACCCCTCCTCTGCTCACTCTCTCTCTCAAAATAAATGGATAAACCTTAAAAATAAATAAATAAAAATTCCCTTATTTGATCATCTTTGATGGATGATAAGGGAGCAACATATTATTGAGAAATGGTTAATAAAGGGAAAGAAACGGATGTTTGTTCTGCCTTTCCTGTGTGAACTGAATTATTAGGTAACCAAATAGTAGAAGGAAGTTCTTTTAATAGATGTATTTGTACTAATAAGTGAAGAAGTGATTAGATTAGAATAACCTTTTGTGACTCCTGACGTACGCTGAGCATCGGTGGTAGTTAACCTCACACACACACACACACACACACCCCTACACACGTACACATGCACAGACCTACACATGTACACCCGTGCACACACATGCACGCACTTCACACATGCACACAAACAGTAAACATTTTATGTGCTGGCTGATGGAAGAACAGTATAGCATCTACAAAGTGCTCTAACCAAAAAGATAATAATAATAAAACCTGAACCCGATCAAAACTCTGAATCTAACTACCAATTTACAGGAAAGACAGATGACAAGAGAGCATGCTAAAGTGTACCATGGGATGGAAGGAGCAAAATCTAGACTATAAGAATCTCTATCAGTCAAGCAATCCAATTTATTCAATAAATAAAATGCAAGGTGGGAGGAAAAGGTGGGGGAAAAGTTATAGATTAAAAGAAATTTAAAAGACATCATTTTTTTAAACTGAAACAACTAAACTCTAGTGTTCAGGGATGCACACATGGGTCATAAAACTTTTTCTAAAAAAGCAAAGTTGTAGTATCCATAAAACTCAGGATGAAACAAATTTTTATAAAGCACTGGAAGAGTCTGCATTTTTTGTAATATTTCTAAGACTGAGTCCCTTTATTTATTTTTTATTAAAAAAAATTTTTTAATGTTTATTTATTTTGGAGAGAGAGAGACAGAGCGTGAGAAGAGGAGGGGCAGAGAGAGAGCGTGAGAAGAAGAGGGGCAGAGAGAGAGGGAGACACAGAATCCGAAGCAGGCTCCAGGCTCCGAGCTGTCAGCACAGAGCCTGAAACGGGGCTCGAACCCACAAACCATGAGATCATGACCTGAGCCAAAGTCAGATGCTCAACCTACTGAGCCACCCCGGTGCCCTAAGACTGAGTCCCTTGAATGCAAACAAACAAACAAACAAAATGGAAGAGATCTTGACAAGATCAAATTTAAATATTAGGGACATGACTTAGTGATGTTTTTCAAACTTTTATTGACAGTGACCTAACAGAAAATATATCTCTTATATCATGAATCAGTATACATGTACCTGTCCCAGCTCAGGATTTTCCAAACTTTTCGGAATGGACCATGAAGTCAGTTTAGGGGGCTGTGACCAGCTTTTAAAAATATCAAACAGGAGGGGCACCTGGGTGGCTCAGTTACTTGAGCATCTGACTCTTGATTTTGACTCAGTCATGATCCCAAGGTTATGGGATCGAGCTCTGTGTCAGGATCATGCTGAATGTAGAGCCTGCTTAAGATTCTCTCTCTCTCTACCTGCCCCTCTCTCCCACTCATGCTCTCTCTCTTTCTAAAATAAAAAAGTAAAAAAAAAAACAAAACAAAACATAAAAATATCAAATAGGAAAGAATAGAACAGAAAATTTAGTCCATCCGACATAATTAAATGAAGTATGATTTTATGAAAATTTATTTCATATCTGTGTATGAACATGTATATTGAGTTACAATGTAAAATCTATTTCTTCTCATGAGAAAGTGGTCCAAAAAGATTGGATGTATAACCCCAGCTGTTTTCACAGATTGGGTTTCATTAGTCTCAATCAAGTATGCGATTGCTACGTTGAGATCAGCAGATACCCGAGCCCCGACGGCCTTCAGAGCGGTGTGGACCTGCAATGCTGCAATCAGACCCTTCCCATCCTGTCTACATTGGTGTGGAAAATTTAGTATGACACCAACTTTAGGACCCGTCGCTGGGTGAGAAGAGCTTCCGGTTTTAAAGGCCAATCCCAGGGACTTGCCACATCTATGTGAAAACAGCACAAGTTTCTGCAATCTGGTTTGGTTTTCGCCCTGGGACGTGCATGTGCCTGCAGGTACTGGTCTCCCTGATAATCTTGCAACGTGTCCAGACCCTGAATCGATTCACTCAGCTCCTCCTTTATGCAACCCTGCCTCCCCTTTTGAGGTCCCCTACCTGGCACTTTCAAAGGGGTTTTTGGTAATTTGTGGCTGTATTTTTAAGTAAATTTACACTTATGGGTAAGCAATAGAAGCTTCCAGTTCAAAACCTTCACAGGTAGAAAGCCTCTCCTTGCACCCCTGCCTTCCAGCCACCAGGTCCTCCAGGAGGCAATAGATGTCACTAGTCTTTTCACCGCGCACCAACCACTCCCACATCTTGATGCTGGCCCAGAAAAGAGGTTCCTGAAAACTGGTTTTGCAACCCGTGGGCTTTCAACACCTGAGGGATGAGAAAGTGGGGAGAGAGAGCTGGCAGGGTGCCTTGAGTCCCATGCCTACACTCTCAAGGCATCGTTCCAGAACATTTACTACCTGTGTTGTCATTACCTATTTATGAGTCTCTCTTCCCTCCTGAATGGTAAGTCTCTTGGGGGACTGCATGGGCTCCCCTTGGCCCCGTGACAGCATCACCTTCTTCTGATCCGTCCATATCTCTGGGAGTGGCTCACCATGGCCTTCAGAGCCCGCATGCTGGCCCCTAGAAAGGAGGTGTGCCCTGGGAGCTCCCCTTGAAAACCCTGCCTGGTGCCCCTCCTACTTCTAACTTAGGACCCCGCACCACTAAGCTGCAGCTTAGTATAATCGGTCAATAATCCGCCCATCAGTCTGTTTTCTCACAGCGATCCACCTCCCTCCCTCTCACAGGTGTTCCCACAAGACTGATGGATGGTCCAGTGTCACCAGGGTCACCTGGGGTGCTGCTCCAGCAGCTCACACCTCACACACCTGGGCATGATGCTCAGTGAGCAGAGCAGACACCTCCTGGGATGAGATCACTTCCCAGGCTGTGGGCACTGGAAGGGTCTAGGCATGTTCAAAATGGGTCTTATTAAGGCCAACCACAGAGCCCTGGGGACAAAGGTTAGGAGGATATCTCTGGCCCAGAGCCTGAGTAAGTGGCTGCTGTGAAAAGAGGGTCACTGATGAAGTAAGGGCACCAGCAATGAGAGAGAGAAGTCGGAGCAGGTCAGGCCCCAGCGCCGTGGAGCACTCAGCAGGGTAGGGGAGAGGCACAGAGGACTTGCAGATGGACCATGGCTGAACTTCCATGAATGTCCTAGGACCATCAAGGCTAAGCCCTGGGAAAGAATGTCATGGAAAGCCGGGATTCCGAAGAGGGGCATGTAACAAAGGGCACAAGGCATCCCAGCAAAGAGGGTTGGAGCACCCAGCACACAGGCTTCTTCATGGAAGAAGGAGGAAGGTTATTTAACTGCACAGTGTGGAGAGGGCCTGGGTTCAGGGTGATGAAGGTCAACTGTCATACCATAGAGTCAAGAAGCAATGTCCGGGGGCACCTGGGCGGCTCAGTCGGTTAAGCATCTGACTCTTGATTTCAGCTCAGGTCATGACCTCATGGTTTGTGAGATCGAGCCCCCACACTGGCCTCAGCACTGAGCGTGGAGCCTGCTTAAGATTCTCTCGGGGCACCTGGGTGGCTCAGTCAGTTAAACCTTCAGCTCTTGATTTCAGCTCAGGTCATGGTCTCATGGTTCATGGGATAGAGCCCGCATTGGGGTTCCACTAGTGCATAGTCTGCTTGGGATTCTCTCTCTCCCTCTCTCTCTGCCTCTCCCCTGCTCACACTCTCTGTCTCTAAATAAATAAATAAATAAATAAATAAACATTGGAAGAAAAAAAAAAAAGATTCTCTTCCTTGCCCTCTGCCCCTTTCCCTCTCTTAAAAAATATAAAAAATAATAATAATTAAAATTGATGTATCAAGGAGCAGCACACATATAATACACAGAGGTAAGGAGGCAACCATGAGAAAAATCAAATATAAAAAGAGTCCAAGAGTGGCTGCTCCAAGACAGGCCAGAAGGATCAGGTGGCCCCGGGACTGTGGCTTGCCTGTACTACCTCATTTATTTAACAACTGTGCCTGAACTACGGTCATGAACATTTTACACATAAGAGAAGGATGGCTGCCGTGCCTGTGAGAGAGCTAACCATCCAAAATAGTAAAATTAAAGCATATTGGGTTATTTAAAGGCCTTGTTCTTTCCAGAAAACAGAGCCACTTCTCCAAGGTGGAAGGCAGCCAGATTCACGACATCAGTTCCCATTTCTGTGAAGCAGGTCACTGCTCACCTCCTTCCCGCAGCCACGGGAAACCAGATGCCTGCAGCTTGGTTGCACTGTTAACCACTTAAATTAAGAATAATTAATCAGCGAGTCACTAGGTACACGACTTCTTTCAAATGAAATCAGACTTTGCCCCAAGATACTGGGCCGATTATGTATTATTTGCCTAACGTGCAGTTTTATGTGTGCACAGAGCATTCCTTCCCAATCAAGAATCTACAAGAACATTACACCTTTGTACGCCTGGCACCTACAACCCACTACCCTTTGCCAGTGGCCACACATTCACCTTCCTTCCACACAGCCCTGCTCAGATGCACTGCACTGCCTGTATGCTTTGTGCCTGAGTTTAGCTTTGACTCTTTGGTTGAGGAAAAAGAATGCTTCTGCTTAGTAAAACTCAGGCAGTGAGCAAAATGTAAAACTGTTTTAATGCTGGGGGGGAAAAAACAGACATCCGTGAAACAAAATAGAGAATCCAAAAATAGACCCAAATACATATGGCATTTTAGTTTCTGGTAAAGGTGACATTTTAAAAAAGGAGGGGGAAAAACACGGATCCGCTGACAAATTGTTAGCAAGGAAAAGCTGGATTCCTGCCGCATCCTTCCCTTTCTGGCGCCTCAAAGATTTAAATCCAAATTATCAAAGATGTAGCATGTGTCAAGGAGCTGAACATAAAATAAACCACAAAATTTCAAAAAGAAAGCACGAGTGCATGTTCGGAAAGGTCTTCCTAAGAAGGATATAAAAACAGAGAGGTTGGGGCGCCTGGGTGGCGCAGTCGGTTAAGCGTCCGACTTCAGCCAGGTCACGATCTCACGGTCCGTGAGTTCGAGCCCCGCGTCAGGCTCTGGGCTGATGGCTCAGAGCCTGGAGCCTGTTTCCGATTCTGTGTCTCCCTCTCTCTCTGCCCCTCCCCCGTTCATGCTCTGTCTCTCTCTGTCCCAAAAATAAAAAACGATAAAAAAAAAAAAAAAAAAACAGAGAGGCCATAAGATAAACAATTGGTTAAATTTAAATACACAATGTTTTTTGGACTAAAAGCGGCCTGAACAAAGTCCAAAGACCAGTGTTAAACGAGAAAAGACAGCTACAACAATATCTGGCAGCAAAGGGCTTATGTCCTCAACTGATAAAAAGTATGTATGAGCTGCTAAGACAAAAATGACAAAACGGTATGAAAATGGGCAAAAGATAAGAACCGGCAGCTTTTAAAGAAAAGGAGTTTCAGCCATGAAATCCAAATGAATAGATATTAAAACTTACTAATAACTAGACAGGTGCAAATCAACACAAAACAAAAGAGCTATAAAATTGGCAGACACTTAATATTTAAGGACAGCCAATGTTGTTGAAGATGTGGGGGAACTAGGCTCTCGTGTCCTATTGTGGGAACATAAAGTGAGGGATATAAACATGGGGAGGAATATTTGACCATAGCTATCAATATTTACAGCACCTTGACTTAGCATTTCCACCAAGAAAGAGATATACTCTAGGCATATTTACAAAAGCTTGCCAGGAGAGTCTATGAGGTTGGGTTCCTTATACTGTTTGTAATGGCAAAAAAAAAAAAAAAAAAAAAAAAAGGAGAAGGAGAGGAAGAGCAGGAGGAGAAGGAGGAAGAGGAGGAGGAGGAAGTAGAAGAAGGAGGAGGAGGAGAAGAAGAAAAGAAAAATTTTAAGGGGGAGAAAAGGAGAGAGAGAGACTAGACTGTCCATCAGCAAGAAACTTGTAAGAATAATTAAATGTCTGATGATGCCAAATGTTGGCAAGGTTGTTGAGCAAATGGGAAGTGTCCTCTTCTTGGGGGTGTGGGGAGAATGGGTGCTAATGTTTAGAAACAGTCTGGTACTACCTAGTGAAGTTGATGCACCCCTGACCCAGAAATTCAAGTCCTAGAGATATATCTTTAAAAACTGGTACACATGAGCATCAAAATACTTCAATAAACATGTTCATAAAAGCATTTTCCACAATAGGCCCAAAAGCGGAAACAATCCAAATGTCCACCATCATTAGAATTGTTTTTTTTTTAAGTGGGATTAAGTTACACAATGGAATTCTACTATAGAATAATGAAAACGAATACATTCAGCTACCTGCCACAACATGCGTCAATCTCATAAATATAACATTGAGCAAAAGAAGCAAGAAACAACAAAACTCACGAAGTACGGTTCCATCCAACTAAAGCTCATAAACAGAAAAGTAAACCACCTTCTATGGAAATGCATCCGTAACGGTAAATTTTTTTTTAAATGCAAGAAAATTATTATCACAATAATCAAGATAGAGTGACTTCTACTAGGTAAGGATAAGGCTGTAATTGAGTAGAAGTCTACTGGGGGCCTTTGGGTAGTAGCAATGTTCTATTTTTTGACCTGAGCAGGATCTAAGTCACGTGTGTGTGTGTACACCATATAGCACAATAAAATAAGGATAAAAGAAATTCTAAATGTATTATTGGAACATCCTTATGATGAATACAATGGCATCATCAAAGAAGAGACGAAGATAGCTCTTGAAGTGTTCACGCAGAAGATCTCTAAGATGCACTAAGTGAAAGAAGCAAGGTGCCAAAGCATGCATGGCAGAAAGAAAGTCCTGTAAATAAAACTGAAAGAATGGCACAGAGATAAGCAACAGATAACGGATATGTGTATATGTGTGTATATATATATATATATATATATATATATATATATATACACACACGCACACACGTTTATGTATAGTATGATATAGTGATATCATATATCACTATTATATATCATATATAGTGACAGATACAAAGATAGATAACAGATTGATAAATATATAGATAACTGGTTGATTCATGAAAGCACTGATATATGATAGACGCATAAATAGAAAGATAGATAGATACTTTGATACCCAGATACCTACATGGATACCTAGGGAGATAAATGCATAGAGAAAGACCCATACATAGATAGATGATAGATAGACAGAAAGACGAGTACATCGATACAAGGATAACATAGAATGATAAAAACATAAAACATACAAAGGTAATAACAGATATATTAACTCATAGATACGTAGATGCAGTGATAGATAAGTGGATAGACCCACAGATAACAGGATTCGTGTGTGCAGGTTTTGTTTGTTGGGACTGGGGAGGGAATTAGAAGACAATTAACAGGGGTCGCCATCATACAACATTGCAATATACATCCATAAAATATGACATGACATTACTTGGGAGTATATGCCATTTTGATAAATTGTTTAATATATCATTTAAAAATATATTTTCTTCTATATTCATAGGATAAAAAATATGGCAACAGTGTACCACAAATGTTAAAATAATAATGCCTGCTAACAGAATTGGGGACAATCTTACTCCATTGTGCCCCTCGTTGAGGTTTCCCAAAACAGCAACAATATTTTTTATTTTAAAATATGCCTGTATTGAATTAAAATATAAACAAAACAGACATACTTGACTTAAAAAAAAATAAAATAAAAGGACACAGGTGGTCATTACTCCCTTTTCATTCACAACTTTTCACTTGGGTCTTTAAACAGGGAGGGGTGACTACAGCTAAGGTCCTAACTAGCTTTTTATCTGAAAAGCTGTGTGAAATGGGCCGCCTGGTCTTTCTATTCCCCTGCATGGCTGTCTTTTGCTCCAGGGCCAGGGAATTTGACAGCAGAGAACGAGTCAGAGAGGGGGCAGGCCCAGAGCCTGTCTCCGGGCAGGGCTGAGACTCCACTCACTCACAGATCAGAAGCCAAATCAAATAGCTCAGCAAACCACAACAGCATTGCTCAAATATTCATTCATTCACTTACTAGCTAAATATCTATTGGACACCTACCAAACACTGAGATGGCCCTAGACCCTGGGAACATACAGATCAAGTGTCTTCCTATTGGGCTATTACATCATAATGGAGAAGAGACACAGTAAGTGGATACGTTATCATAAAAGGTTAGGGATTAAGAATTAAGCAAACACAGGAGACATTAACCAGAGATTTGCCTGTTTCAGGTAGACTGTTCAAGAAAGGCCTCTCTGAGATGGGGACTTGTGCACAGAGACTCAAAGAGAGGAAACAATGATGCAAAAATGGGGTGGGGGGGGCGGTGAGGAGCATGCTACGTGGTAAGGAAAGCAAGCCTAAAGGCCCTGAGGTCAGAGCAGGCTCAGTGCGTTTGAGGAAAGGCCTGAAGTCCACCATGGTTCAAAATAATAAGAGAAAATGAAATTAGGGAGGTCAGCAGGGGCCAAATCAAATAGGGTCTTTCTTGTGAGCTCTGCATTTTATTTTCTGTGTGCCATCGCAGTGACAGCCAAACTTTTATGTGACGCTTGCTGGGCTTTCCAGGGGTATGAGCCAAACGCATGCTCTCCTGAAGCACTTTGGGAGGTGTTTCAAAGACAACCACACACCACATCTCCCCTCTCCCCATCCCAACTGGATGTATCTCCCCCGTGGCTCCCTTGGCACAGGTTAGTACTTATGACGGCTTCCTCCCTCCATAGCCCCGGCTGAGCTCACTCTTCCCTCCACGTAGCAGTCCTGCTCTGCCATCACAGTCCTTATCTCGTTCCACAAGAACCCCTGACGCTCCCTCTTATCAAACGTGCCGGGAGCACAGGCTGCCCTCTCCACTCAGCAGCCTCACTTCACCTCTGCACCAGGAACACAGCAAGGCAGCCTCAGCGCCTCCGCATGTGGGCCAAACAGTGGTTCCCTGTGTTCACCAACTGCAAGAGACATCTCCCCGCTCCTCAAGTGGTCCCAAAGCAGCCCCTCTCCTTGGGCCAGTGTTCCTCAACCTCGACACCAGTGACATTTGAGGCTGTGTACTTGGTGTTCCTTGTGGGGACTGTCCTGTGCCCTGCAGGATATTTAGCATCATCTCTGGCCTCTCTCCAATGGATACCTGTAGCCTCTCTCCAGTCAGGACAACTCCAAATGTCTCCAGACATGGCCATCGCCCCCTGTGTGTGGAAGCCACTCCCCTCCATTGAAGAACCACCTTCAGGGAAAAGCATGCTTCCCTGTGGGAATAGGCGTGACTCACCTCGGACTCAAAGTCCAAGGCAAAAGCTCTTAATCAATCTTGACTCCACCTTGACCTTTCCAGATTCTCTTATAGCCTAAATGGTGAAGGTTCCAAGTTTGCAAAACCAGTTTTCAGGACTCTTTCCCAAGGACTGCAAAGGCCCCCTGCCATCTTGCTGAGAAACAAGGAGTATTTAAAACCAGAGTCTTGGAGCCTCAATCAAAATGGAGACAGACAGAAATGGCCCCGTTCTCATACGCTATTCTCGAACCATTTCATGAAAAATGAAGGCAGCATACCTACACGTCACACTAGCATTTATCAGTACAGTGTCTGCATAGAATATCTCTGGGAGGATTCACAGGGGGCTTGGAAGATAATTGGTTTTTTCCAAGGAAGGGATCGGACAAGGTGACTGGACAAACAAGGACAGAAGGCTTTTCACTTTCATAACTTGTGAATTCCAAACCATAGTATTATCAATAACACTACTTTTCAAAGGGAAAAAGAGCGAAGGATTCAAAACAATGGCAACTTTAGAACCTTAAAAGGAGAGGCAGAAGTGCTTAGGACAAAGCTTGTGTGGAGAGCCTGAATTCTAGAAGGCAAGATGGCCCAGCTGTTCTGTGGTCCCAGCATGTCCTGGGGTAAAAAAAAGGAAGTACATGGAAGCGACTTGTGTTATTTTTATACAAATATTGCAAGTCCACAGAATTTTCCCTCTAAAGGATGGATTTCAAAGCTTGGCTTTTTCTACCAGAGGACTGCAAAATCAATGTATTCATTCATTCATTCTTTTTTTTTTTTTTCTTAATTTACTTATTTTGAGAGGGAGAGTACATGAGTGGGGGGAGGGGCAGAGAGAGAGGAAGAATCCCACGCAGGGTCTGCAATGTGAGCCCAGACCCTGATGCAGGGCTCAATCTCACAATCTGTTGAGATCATGACCTGAGCTGAAATCAAGAGTCAGAGGCTTAACTGACTGAGTCACCCAGGCGCCCCCATTCTTTCTTTCTTTCAGGCGCTGTTCTAGGTGCAGGGGAAACAGCTTTGACCAAGACAAAACCCCGGGTCTCATCTATTCTAATCCAGGGAGAGGTCAGAAAAAATGCAAAAGAAGTGAGTAAACTATAGTGTGTTAGAGGGTAAGAAACACCCAAGAGGAAGAGGACATCATAGAGGGTATATAAGGAGTTTTAGGTGCAGAGGTAGGTACTAAGGTTTTAAACAGGGTGATCAGGGCGAGAGGCTTCAATAAGAAGATGAGTTTTGGGAGCATCTGGGTGGCTCAGTTGGTCAAGCGTCTGACTCTTGATTTCAACTCAGATCATGATTTCACGGTGCATGGGATCAAACCCCACATCGGGCTTTGCGCTGACAGTGTGGAGCCTGCTTAGGATTCTCTCTCTCCCTCTCTCTCTGCCCCTCCCCTGCTCGGGCTTGCTCTCTCTCAAAATAAATAAACATTAAAAAAAATAGCTTAAAAAAAAAAGATGATGATGATGATGATGGTTTTTTAACAAAGTCCTGAAGCTGTTGAAGGAGGGAAACTTCCAGACTCTGCCCAGAAGGGCCCTGTGCCTGGGCTTGGGCTCTGCTGTCACAGTCGTGAAAATCTTAATGAAGTTCGAATAAGAAGCCCCACGTTTGCATTTTGTACTGGGCACTGCAGTGTATGTAGCTAGGCCTGCTTCCAGATGATCTGGGGAGTACCTATCCATGCAAAGAGAATGGCAAACACCATACCTGGAGTTTCAAGGAGTAAGGACGCCAGGTGACTGGAGATGGGAGTCAGGACAGCGACAGGCTGATGCACCACATAACACGAGACCATCCTGAGTGCTGGGCTCGCCCTCTGGGTGAGACAGAGAGCGATCTGTGGGCTTTGGGCAGGGGGTGACAAAACACGTGTTTTAAAAGGATTACTCTGGGGGTGCCCGGCTGGAGCCTGGTTGGAGCATGCGACTCTTGATCTCAGGGTTGTGAGTTCGAGCCCCAAGTGGGGTATAGAGATGACTTAAATAAAAACTTTGGGGGCACCTGGGTGGTTTAGCTGGTTAAGCATCTGACTTCAGCTCAGGTCAAGATCTATCTCACGGTTCAGGAGTTCAAGCCCTGTGTTGGGCTCTGTGCTGACAACACAGAGCCTGGAACCTGCTTTAGATTGTGTCTCCCTCTCTCTCTCTGCCCCTCCCCTGCTCATGCTCTGTCTCTGTCTCTGTCTCTCTCTCTCAAAAGTAAACATTAAAAAAAAATTAATAAATAAATAAAACTTTAAAAAATAAAATAATATAAAAAATAAAAATAAGAAAATGATTACTCTGGACTTTTACTGAGACTACGTAAGACAGATGGGCAGGAGTGGGATTAAGGTGACCAGTTCAGAGGCTATTATTGCCCTAAATGACATTGGACATGGCTTGGACCAGAGTGCTCTTAGTGCAAAGGTAGTGAGAAGCAGTCAGATTCTGGGTGCATTTTGGAGCATTTGCTAGATTTTACACAGTGTGAGCGTTGAAAAGAAGAGTCAATGATGCTCTAAAGTTGGCCTGAACAACTGGAAGGATTTGGGAATGCACAAGACTGTGAGAGAAGCAAATTTTCCAGGGAATGTGAGGAATCCACTTAGAGATTTTTTTTTAAGTTTCTTTATTTTTTGAGAGAGAAGGAGAGAGACAGAGAGAGAGAGAGAGAGAGAGAGAGCATGAGGAGGGGAGGGGCAGGAAAAGAGGAAGAGAGAAGATCCCAAGCAGGCTCCCCACTGCCAGTGCAGAGCCCAATGCAGGACTCGAACTCACAGACCGTGAGATCATGACCTGAAATCAAGAGTCAGACACTTGATTCTGACTGAGCCACCCAGGCGCCCGTCACTTAGAGATGTTTTAACTTTAAGGTGACTATTCCATCTTTAAGAAGAGATGTCCAATAGGTCATCTGTGTCAGGAGTTCAGGGGAGAACCCAACTGACAATGTATATTTAGGATTCATAGGCTCAAATGGACGAGATTTAAAGTCATGGGAGTAGATGAGACACCATACAAGCGTGCAGAAAGAAAAGCAGTTCGAGGGGTGAATTTTGAGGTGCTCTTATAGTAGAGGTATGAACGTGAGGGGGAACCAGCAAAGGGAGCCCCTAAAGCATGCTCCATACAGAAAAATTACCATCCTAATAGAGCCTGACAGAGAAGAATATGTTTCAATATGTTGAAAAATAAGTGGCATGCAGCCCTGCAGATGCTTCCAATCTTGACATCAATCCAGGCTTTGGTGACAACTCCCAGTTCAGACAAGCCATTAGCAGAAGAGCCGTGAACCCCAAGCCATGGAAATGACTGATTACTAATATTGTTGTGGTGGTGGTGGTGGTGAATAATTTCAAAAGAAGAAAGAGAAAGAGTGTCTGGATTTGTAGGATGACCAATGATCCCAGGTGCCCTGAGCCCGAGGCGATCCCCAGGGCACAGGATTTTGAATGCTAACACTGGAAAGTCCCAGGCAAACAGGGATGAGTTGGTCAACCCAACCTGGTATCAGTCTGTCATTCAAATTCAGTCCTCCCAGCTACTTACCTCGTGTTTTCTCATCTGTAAAAATAGGAGTAATACAGGATTGTTATTAAGATAAAATAAGAATATTGCACATCAGAATGCCTGATAGTAGGTACTCAATAAATAGTAGTTTTTATTTATACTGGAAGAAAGACATCACTAGATTATGGCAAGCAAAGTATTTGGGGTTCACAATTATTTCTTAATTTTTTTAATGTGTATTCATTTTTGAGACAGAGATAGAGTGTGAGCAGGGGAGGGGCACAGAGAGAGGGAGACACGGAATCCAAAGCAGGCTCCAAGCTGTCAGCATAGAGCCCGACATGGGGTTCGAACTCACAAACCGTGAGATCATGACCTGAGCCGAAGTCAGACACTCAGCCGACTGAGCCACCCAGGCACCCCTGGGTTCACAATTATGATGCTGACTTACGAAGGAACGCTAACACACGTTCATTATATTCCAGTTTAACACCATTATCATTAAGAGGTAGAGAGGTCATGACGTGAAATAAAGAGAGGAAGCCCAACACAGTATTCGCTTCTGTCATAAACAGAATTTACACCATCATAATATTAACACCAGTTATTGACTTTCGACTTGTAGAACTGAACAACAGATAAATTATGGGAGGGGCGCCTGGGTGGCTCCGTCAGTTGAGCGTCCAACTTCAGCTCAGGTCATGATCTCACAGTTTGTGAGTTCGAGCCCCACATCGGGCTCTGTGCTGACAGCTCGGAGCCTGGAGCCTGCTTCAGATTCTCTGTCTCCCTCTCTCTGCCCCTTCCCTGCTCACACTGTCTCAAAAATGAATAAACGTTAATAAAAATCTTTTTTTAAGTTGTAAAAAAAAAATTATGGGAAAGCCAGAGTTTTAAAACAAGTTATAAAGAAGCCCAACACAATATTTGCTTTTGTCATAAACCGGATTTACACCATCATAATTTTAACACCAGTTATTGACTTTCGACTTGTAGAACTGAACTATAGATAAATTATGGGAAAATTGTAGTTTCAAAACAAAGTAAGAATGTTATTAATCTGGATTTTGTCAAATAAATCTATAGCTGTCAAAAGCGGGGGATGGGGGCGCCTGGGTGGCTCAGTCGGTTGGGCGTCCAACTTCAGCTCAAGTCACGATCTCGCGGTCCGTGAGTTCAAGCCCCGTGTCGGGCTCTGGGATGATGGCTCAGAGCCTGGAGCCTGCTTCCGATTCTGTGTCTCCCTCTCTCTCTGCCCCTCCCCCGTTCATGCTCTCTCTCTGTCTCAAAAATAAATAAACGTTAAAAAAAAAAGCGGGGGGATGAAAATGGGGTAAAGAGGGGCAGAAGGCAGTAGAGGCATCAAGGTTCACAATGGGAAATTAAACACTGTCTTGTTTGTGCACCAAGAGGTCGAGATTCCAATGTTTTGCTTAAAGATGCCCGATTACAGTGGAGGAACTGAGACGGGAGTTAGAGCCATTTTGGAAGGTGGGTAAGTGGTGAACACATTTTAAAGGTGATGGAGGTGAACTAACTCCTCTCCTACTAGGATGGCAAGGCGTAAAGTGGATACAGTTAAAAAATGGTGTAAGGTTCTTGTTGGGAAATATGGAGATACCACCACAGGGGAAAAAAAATAGAAAGGTTTAAAGTTGTATCTGGGGACCGGACAAGTTGAGGCAGGAGACAACCTCATAGGTGAATCAGCACTTTCATGATAATCCTTTCTCCATCCCTCTCTCCCCTCTCCCCATTTGACTTTAATAACGTGCATTGACTCTGTTTATGAAAGCTTAAAAGTAAAAAGAAAACAAAGACTGTAAAAATAACTGCCCATTCAAAATAATTTTTTTAAAGGATATTAAGTGCTTTTATGGATTCAGCTTTTCAGAAAACTGAGCTGTTTGGAGTGACTCATTCTTTGGATGTGTTAAAAAAAAATTTTTTTTCCCTACTCCACCCAGTCCCTCCTTCCTTCTGAAGCCAGGCCGCTGTCTATACAGTCACTGAAAACTAGATTCTCACACTTTGATCGCACTTGAACTATTTAGAGAAGACTGACCAGTCAACCCGTCATTGGGTACACCACTGTATTAATCTGCTCGAGCTGCCATAACAGAACATCACAGCCCGGTGGCTTAAACAACGGAAATTTCTTTTCCCACGAGGCTAAAGCAAGGTGTTGACCAGGCTGCAGACCCATCTGGAGCTTGGGGTCCTCTTCCAAGTTCATCCAGGTTGGGGCAGAATTCAGCTCCTTTCCATTGCAGGACCAAGGTCCCTGTTTTCTTGCTGGCTGCCAGCTGGGCATCACTCGGGGCTCCTGCAGCCCACCCTCAGGGGTCAGCCAGGTGGGCCCTCCATAAGCCATCTACCACAGGCTCGGCTGTTGGCTTTGGTCCAGGCTAACAGGAAAGTGTCTCTAGAAACAGAGCTCGCCTGATTTGATCTAATCCACAGATCCCACTCAAATTTTGTCAATCATCCTAATCATACCTACTATAGGTCTAGGATCTCATTCAGGATCACACCTAACACTTAGTTGTCATGTGTCTTTAGCCTCTAGTTCCTCAGTGTTTCCTTATCTTTTGTGGCCTTGACCATTTTTAATGAGAACAGGCCAGTTACTTTGTAGAAAATCCCTGTTAACAGATCGGATGTTTGTGTGCTCCCTAAATACGTATGTCGAAACCCTAACCCACATTGTGATGGTATTGGGAGATGGGGCTTTGGGGAGGTAATTAGGTTTAGATGAGGTCACGAGGGGGGGGGACCTCATTATGGGATTAGTACCTTGATAAGAAGAGGGGGAGGGGCACCTGGGTGGCGCAGCCGGTTAAGCGTCCAGCTTCAGCCAGGTCACAATCTCGTGGTCCGTGAGTTTGAGCCCCAAGTCAGGCTCTGGGCTGATGGCTCAAAGCCTGGAGCCTGTTTTCGATTCTGTGTCTCCCTCTCTCTCTGCCCCTCCCCCGTTCATGCTCTGTCTCTCTCTGTCCCAAAAATAAATAGACGTTGAAAAAAAAAATTAAAAAAAAAAAAGAAGAGGGGGAAATCCCTCTCTCCTGCCTGTCTCTGTCTCAATCTCTGGCTCTCTGTCACGTGAGGACAAAGTGACAAGATGGGCGTCTACGAGTCAGGAAGTCTTCACTGTGATCTCAGCCTCCAGAACTGTGAAATAAGTATCTGTTGCTTCAGCCACTCAGTCTATGGTATTTTGTTATGGTAGCCTAGCTGAGTAAGATAGTCCCACAGTCTGGATTTATCTGATATTGCCTTCTAATTACATGCAAACTCTATATTCTTGGTAGAAATACCCCAAAAGTGATGCTATGTTCTTCTAACGGCAGCCTATCAGCAAGTCCACACTGTCTATCCCAATACTGGTGGTATTTCAACATTTATAAGATAGTGTCTGTCAGAATTCTCTATGGTAAAATTAACTGGGAAGTATGTGCCATTAATTAATAAACATTTAACGCGTCGTCTGTGCGGAGACAACTTTGAAATTAGGCAAATATTCGGTCCCTCATCAAACATTCACCCACTGGATTTAGCATCCGTTAATGAATCTGACCTGAATCAATTATTACTATAACGATTGCAAAATGCTTCTAGTTCCATCATTCCCTCTGCACTTAATTAATTAGTATCATACTGTGCAGTTTTCCCTTATTTTTTTTTTTAATTTTTTTTTCAACGTTTATTTATTTTGGGGACAGAGAGAGACAGAGCATGAACGGGGGGAGGGGCAGAGAGAGAGGGAGACACAGAATCGGAAACAGGCTCCAGGCTCCGAGCCATCAGCCCAGAGCCCGACGCGGGGCTCGAACTCACGGACCGCGAGATCGTGACCTGGCTGAAGTCGGACGCTTAACCGACTGCGCCACCCAGGCGCCCCAAAGTTTTCCCTTCTTATTGATTGATTCAGTATGGACTCATGGGTTTCTACTTTATTGAGCGGATTATATTTGTTACTATTACTATTTGTTTGTTGCTCGAATTTTCCCAGACTTAGCCAGTGGAAGCTCCCTTAAGCTGATTCTCACGTCCTTATGACATACCCCGTATTACTCTTTGAACAATTTTTACTTTCTGGCACAAATATATCTTTGAGGCTCAAACTGTACTTGTTTTTTCCTATCTGGAATCAGCCATTTACCCAAAGATCCCTGGTTCCTTTTAGTGGAAAATGGTATTTAGAAACCAAGACCTGGGGGGCACCTGGGTGGCTCAGTCAGTTAAGTATCCCACTCTTGATTTCAGCTCAGGTCATGATCTCAAGGTTTGTGAGTTTGAGCCCCACATTCGGTTCTGCACTGACAGCGTGGAGCCTGCTTGGGATTCTCTCTCTCTCTCTCTCTCTCTCTCTCTCTCTCTCTCTCTGCCACTCCCCCACCCATAACCCCTCTCTCAAAATAAATAAATAAACATTAAAGAAAATAGAAACCAAGATCTGGGCACTGGTTATGCTCATTGCTACTGGGATATTATTGCTTCTACAGCCTCGCAGGAGACAGAACTAAAAATACGTGAACACACATACACATTGCCTATAAATGTATGGTTTTTTTTTTCAACGTTTATTTATTTTTGGGACAGAGAGAGACAGAGCATGAACGGGGGAGGGGCAGAGAGAGAGGGAGACACAGAATCAGAAACAGGCTCCAGGCTCTGAGCCATCAGCCCAGAGCCCGACGCGGGGCTCGAACTCACGGACCGCGAGATCATGACCTGGCTGAAGTCGGACGCTTAACCGACTGCGCCACCCAGGCGCCCCTATAAATGTATGTTTATGTCAGTCTATCTACACATACTGACAACCATGGGTTCACAAACATTTCCAACTCCAAACCATCACCACAGGGGTTTCTCCAGCCTCTGCTTTTCCACGTTTTGTAATTTCCTTCTCAGATCGTGAGAAACTGGATTCCACTGTTCTCAATCTTTACTTTTTTGGCCAATTCCCCAGTGGTAACCAATCTCCTGACCACTCGCACAGTCTCCTTTGGCCGTAGCCCTGGCAGCCCCAGCCACGTTGGCTGAGCCATTGG